AAATCTTCAGTTGTAAGATATCATAACCTTCAGTGTATCTCTTTATCAAAACCCTGACTTCTTGCAGCATTTAATGATTCAAAAGACATTTATACCTGTTACATGATGAAGCTGATCATAGATGTGAGATAACATCAACATGAACATGTCTATGCATATAAAGTTGATAATCTTGATTACAATCTTATGTTAGAACTTGTCTGATCATCTGAACAAGACATCTTATTGAACACTTAAAACAGAAGCTTGATATTTCCTAATAATGATAGAATTCATGAAGATGATATTCACAAGACTCTTAACCTTACACACATCTCTGTCAACACTTATAAAATACTCTGAAAAAGAAGTCATCATTAAAATCACTGACAGAGTCACTGATAAGTTCATTAACAGCAGAATCATATATCAATCTATTTCATCAGTCTGACTAATATCAAAAAGACTCTAGAAAAGTTATCTCATGTTACAATAACAGATTGTCATATAAAACTCTTTCAATTAATATCATGAATATCTAGATGTCTTCTGATAAGATAATATTATAAATATACCTCTCTTACAAGGTTCTGAAGTGAATCACACTATTAAGTTAGAGAAAAAGAATCATAAGAACTCTGAACTGTCATGAGACTCTCTTTATAACATGTTTCAAGATGAACTTCTTCTTCTTCAAAAGACACTCAATAATCTGTTGAATAAGAAATTCATATATATTAGCAACTCTTTCACTGCAGCCTCTATTCTCTTTGCAAAGAAATCAGATGAAGAACTTCAGTTCTGTATGAACTATTAAGAACTGAATAGAATAATAAAGAAAGACTGCTACTCACTATCTCTTATCAATGAAACTCTAGCTCATATTGAATAAGCTCAATGATTTATAAAACTAGATATCATTACTGTGTTTCATAAGATCTGCATCACTGAAGAAGATGAGTGACTTACAGCATTTCAAACATAATATAATCTTTTCAAATGAATAGTTACTCTTTTTGAACTGACTAATACTCTCAGTATATTTCAGAAGTATATCAACTGAGCACTCTGAAATTTCCTTAATAAATTCACATCTGCATATCTCAATGACATTCTCATCTTCACTGATGAGTTCAGAAAAGAATATCAAGAACATGTACAGAAAGTATTACAATAACTATAAGAAGCAGAACTATCAATAGATATTAACAAGTGTGATTTTGAAGTCAAGAGTATCAAATATCTGAGTTTTATTATAGAAGCTGATAACAGAATTTGAATGAATTCTGAGAAAGTCTTTATCATTCTTGAATGAAAAGCTCTGTGTACTGTGAAAGATGTACAAAGCTTCATTGAATTTACTAACTTCTATCAGTGATTTATACAAAACTTCTCAGATATCATGAGATCACTTACAGATCTTACTAAGAAAGACTTAGTATTTCAATAATCAGTGAACACTGAAGCTGCATTTATACAGATAAAGAAGATATTCATTAATATCTCTCTGCTAATAATATTCAATTCTGATTACAAGACAGTTATTAAGATCAATTTCTCTGACTATATAACTGAAGAAGTGATATTGTAATATGATGATGAAGATATTCTATAATTATGTATCTTATATCTACGAAACTGAGTTCTGCTGAATGCAATTATGAGATCTATGATAAGAAACTTCTCACAATTGTATACTATTTAGAAGAATGAAACTCTGAACTTCAAAGTATCTCTGAATTTGAGATAATTACAGATCATAAGAATTTCAAATACTTTATAATTATCTGTAAACTTATCAAATAACAGATGTGATAATCTGAGTTCTTAAGCTGCTTTCATTTTACAATACACTATCATTCTGACAGTTAGAACCTGATGACAGATGCCCTCTCATAACAAGAGTAAGATATATCATTCAATGTAATAGATACTCACTGAATGAACTGAGAGCAGCAGCTCTTGAACCTGAAGATACTAGTTGATCACAATGAGATCACTCATGATACTATACATACTTCATCAGTCAGAACATTCTTCAGATCTACACTAAATAAATTATAACATACAACAGCTTAAACTGATGAACTTCTTCAAACACTTATCAAAGCAGTATATTAAGAAGTACTCTGATTTTCCCCAGAACTACATATAAGAATCAATATCTCAGAATGTTCAATCAATGACAATAACACTCTATGATTTCATAAACAACACTGAGTCTCTCACTCTGAACTCTTACACACTCAGATAATACAAAAGATGCATGATTCACTTATAACTGATTATTCAGATTATGAATAACTGTATAGAATAATCTTCTGAGAGTTCTACTGATCTGAGATATTAAACAGTATCAGACACTTTATCAGAAACTGCAATCATTGTTCTTTTATTATCTTATAAAAGAACTGTAGAAAAGATCTGCTGAAATCACTCAATGTCTCTGATAGAATCTGATAAGATGTGATAATTGACTTCACTATTGATTTCTCTAGAAGTAAGAGTTATAGAAACATTCTGATCATTATGAATTAATTGAGCAAAGATATAATATTGAAACCTTATAATAAGATAAATACTGAACAAGTTATCAAAGCTTTTCTACAGAGCCTATTCTATCAAATGCATGAATTGCTGAGATTAATAGTATCAGATCAGAGCTGTTAATTTATAAGCACTCTCTGAACAAGAATCTGTCAAGTTCTCAAGATTACACACTGTCTGTCAACTGTCTATTACTCTGAGACTGATGATGCATTAGAGCAGACAATTCAGACTGTAAAAAACTATCTCTGTAAGTTCTGCAATTATTCACAAGATGATTGATATGATCTGCTTCTACACACAGAGGTAGACTGACCGTGTGACCGTGTCTGAGACTAGGATCAGATTTTTTGATAGTCTCATTACCAATTCAACTGATCTCATTACACAGTTTTAACATTAGATAGTAGTCTTATACTGTCTCAGTGAGACTTACTGTCTACTCTTATCACATTTTTCAAATGAGATCATGATTTTCACTTCTCAATTTAAATTATTTTTATTACTTTAAATGACTTTAAATCTCATTTGAGTATTATCAAAAAGTGTTACTTTTTAAAAAATTAAAAATAGTCTAAAAAAACCTTAAAATGTCTAAAAATAGTAACTTTATGCCAAGAATGAAACTAAATGAAATCAAATGAAATCACTTTCTTATGTTTTTCAAGTCATGGTTTCATTGTAAGATCTGATATATAGTCACTTTACATGTTTTTTTAATAGTCAGTCTCAGTGAGATTCACATCAAGAAATGTATGAGATTAGACTAAATGAGATTAAATGTGAAATTCATAGTTCCAGCGGTCAGTCTACACAGAGGTTACTATCAATGAATAAGATATTGTTTCAACAGACATAAGCTCATTCTTCTTTATATATAGTTATTACATGAAAGTGTTGAATCTTCTAGAGATTACACAGTTCACACTGAATCTCTACAGTTCAATTCAGATTGCTGATAATATAGTAATAAAGCTCTGAGATGCCTGCAATTAAGCAGAAGTCTTCATAGCAGTTATAAAACAAGATCAAGAGAATTAAATCAATGTTCACTGAGATCTCACTGAATAATATAAGATAGAAGATCTGATATGATTGAATCTTAAGAATATACAAATCACATGTTCATCTCATACACTAGATTATCATTACATCAGATATAGAGTAATAGAAGTTCTAGATAGTTACAACTATTATCTTAACACATCATCAGAGATTTATAATATATTTTATACAAGCTTGCTTTATTACATTATCACTGATCTGTTCTCTTCTTAACTGACTTTCAACTGACAATTCTCAGAGATTATAGAAGAAGATAATGAGCTTGAGTAAGAGATTGAAGATATTTTCAATAAGAGATCACACAGTCACAGTTAATAATATCTTATGAAATGAGTTAGTTATAATTAACTGATCTGAACTCTGAGTTTCATATTATTTAAAACAGCAGTTCTTGATTAATGAAAACTGCTTCTGAAAAGAGAGAGTTAATATGATGAGCTGCACTCAATCAATTATATAGACTATTTCATTACACTTCACAGATTTCAATTACTTCATTCTCAAATGCATACACTTCAATTCTCAGTCATTCTCAATCATTAATTCCCAGTCACTATAAATGTGTGGAAGGTGTAAAGCTTGTGTGATTGAAAGATTGCTAGCTTGTGAAAAGTTATATGATGAAAGGATTAGTAAGCCAGATCACGTGACCTGACACCCTCACTCACCAGAGTAACTATACACGATGCTATATACAAAATTCGCCTTTAAATCAAGTACAGGTATAAAAAATGACTGGAAAATGTGAAGTAATGAAAAACCAGTCATAATATACATCATTTTTTATCCCTCTATCTCTCTATCTTCTTTATATTCTCTTTTCAACATGTATATTTTAAACAGTTGACCTCTTTAACACAGGCCTTGTAATAATACTTTCATTCCATGAAAGCTTTGGCGCGCGTGAGGTTTTTCAGAATCAGAAGTGCAGTGATCTTGAAATCAGTGAGTAGGTCTTCAAGACTGTCCCTCACTGAAGATTCCCTCACTGTTGATTCCCTCACTATAATGATATCTCTTGTAGATGTTGAAGAGTCATCAGATTCAACTGTGAGTTCTGAGAAGTTCAGTGTATTCTGCACTAAAAGAGTAGATATTCTCGCGGAGATATCATAGTCAATTCACCAATTATTAGTGAGTATAAGAAATAATGAACACTCAGGTTGAATTTCCTCATCAATGAATAGATTATCAATTGATGAATCAGGAATCACTGCAGTCTCTTTATAAACTGCAGTCAGTAGGCCTGATGTCACTGAAGAAATCACCACAGCTGCTTTGCAGACTGCATTGAGTAGAACCTTCAGGTTGTGTATTGTAGCTGTTGTAGCTGTTGAGATGATGACAGAATGATTGTTAACATTCTGTGATCAATCTGTAGAGAATCTCTGTTAACAGAGTTTTTCCAGTTATAGTTCGAGTTCTAGAACTCTACATCTCTTCTTCTCTATCTCAAATGTCATCTTGAGATGTTTCATCTGTTGGTCTGATATTGCCCCGCCTGAACAGTAGACATCTGAGTGTTCAATATTCTCATCAAGAGAACCAGCTTCATCAAGCTGTTGAGTAGATTGAGAGACTGGCCTGACCATGTCAGAAGCTGTATTCAAACCAGCTTCGAATCAAGAGAGTGTTTTGACAATGAAGCTTTCAAAGGCTCTAGAAGGATGTTCACTGGCAGAGTGTAAGTGTGAAGAATTATCATCAACTTCAACTGATTCAGTGAAAAGAATGTGAGATCATGAACATGTATGTGAGCGGGATTGTATTGAATCCGCCATCTTGATATTCGTTTATTGAATTCTCAATATTCATTTATTGAATTCTTGTCAATATTGTTCTCTTTTTCTTGCTTTTTTGCAAATGTGATGCATTTTCTGCAAGCCTCTTTTTTAAGCAAGCAGTAGTATTATTGATCATCAAGATCTCAAACACATCAATACTGATAGAATAAGATGATTTTAACTCCTGATGAGTGTATTGAATGAAGCAGTAGTTCAAATAGATTATATTGACAAGAAATCCCGAATTAGCAGTGATTTTTATGCAAAACAGGTCTCATAACCTGTGGAAGGTGTAAAGCTTGTGTGATTGAAAGATTGCTAGCTTGTGAAAAGTTATATGATGGAAGGATTAGTAAGCCAGATCACGTGACCTGACAAAATGTGTGTATATTCTTTCACTCTGAAGCTTCACCGCGTACATTATCACATACATATATAAATATTCATCTCAATCACTGATTCTCACACTTTCTCTTTCTTTTCTTCTCTAATATTTTTATCTTTGTTAAATAAGACCTATTAATATAATATCAATCTATTCAGTATAGGCCTCTTATAATTGTGGTTCGGAAGAACGTACGACCGTCGGATAATAACGCGGCCGCTTCCGAACTACTAGCGTACGCGTACGAATGTAAAGGGGCCCTAGCAGCCGCTAATTAATTTAGTGTATAAGATTCAATATATAAGAAGCCAGCATACACCTGTAATCGTATGCTGGCTTAAGCAACCTTTGAATCACATCTGATAGCATGTCTAAAAACTGGTGAGGAGTGCAGGCTCCTCCAGGGCATGATAATTCTGTCTATGAAGTGATTTGTAGTTATCATGCCAGTGTGGTCCTAGAACATCTCAAAAGATAGTGTATGAAGAGTGATGAGTGGAAGAGCATCTGATTGATGCTGCTTCACTTGTTGAGGAAAAACTTCACACTCAGGCGAATGCCATGTATACAAACAGATGAGGTGTGAGAAAAGGGATGAGAGCAGTGAACCAGATTCAAAGGAGACCGCTCTCCACTCAAAGAGATAAAAGAGAGAGATGGCCACCACCAGAGTCATACAATGATAACAGAGTGATATAGCAATATAATGATATAGTGATATAATGATACAGTGATAATGATAGACATTGTATGATCAATGAGAAATCACTGAAATGAATATCTCTCCTAGCTGATACAAACAACACCCTTCTCTGCTATCTGAACTGGAAGGTATACAGAACCTCTCAGAGGGTTTACTCAAAGCAGTAAGAAAAGCAGCTGAGACCACTGAACCAGAATCAAAGCTCTGTACATATACAAGGATTCTAAATGAGATCAAGGCCTTGCATATGCAGTGACAGGCTGAGACAGAGATCAAACAACAATTGACATTCACTGCAGATCAAGCATTCACTATGAAGAGCTTCACTGATGCAATCATCATCATCAATAAGAATAGAGAAAACCAGATCTTAGGCCTAGAGCAGAAGATTAAACATTTACACAGACAGGCAACTACACTGAACCTGAAGATCTCATCATGATCATTCACAATCTCTTCAGAAGTGTACACATCATCAGAGACTGCTGTGCAGGATGAGAATCTGAGCATGAAATATATTAAGTCAGGAGATCTGTCAGAGTCATCAAGCTTTAATAATAACTGAAAAAATGATGCTGCAATCAGCTGGCTAAGTCAGATGCAATCATATTATCAGATCAAATATGAACTCACAGACAGACAGTTAACAGAATTTCAACAAGTCTTAAGATCTGCTGTGTTTCTACGCGGAAAAGCGAAGTCATTATAAATGACTGATGAAAAGATGAACCTCACAGACCTGGAGTAATATTCATTTCCATGAACATGGAATGAGTTTTCCAAGTGAATCTTGCATAACTTTGAGAAAGTGAATATATGAGATAAGTGTTATGAACACTTCACTGAGTGTAGATAAGTAAGTGATCTTATATCATACTTCACACACTTCAGCTTACACTATCTCACATTGAATGAAGAGCTTTCAACATCTTTCTGTTTACAGATCTTCATTCATGATCTTACACCTGAGTTGAGAGTGAAATGAAAATGCTTAATCTCACAGTCAGGCACAGTGAAGAAAGCATACAACATTCTCATCATACAGGAATAAGCAAGTCAATTGCAACAGAAAATACTGCAATTAAGTATGCCTCAGCAGAGAACAGATAATCAGACTTCTATGACACAAGTCACACACTCAGACACAATGAATCTAGATCTGAATGCTATTGCTAAAGCACTGAATCCCCTGAAAAAGGGATTCCCTGGGTGAAAACCTTGATGTCACAAGTATTGAGCTTGCTTCAACTGCAGATGCTAAAATCATGATGCAAAAGATTGCACTCAGTGTGCACAGTTAAGAGAAGTAAGAGAGTCAAAAAACTAGCAGAATCAGTGAGCTCAGAGACACTCACTGATATTCTATGAAAAACCTTCAAAGTGAAAGAGATGTCTGTATTAGATGATTCTCTGAATTCTGCAAATGCAAAGAAGAAGCAGGCTCCTGAATAAGGTGCAGGTGAGGATGATAAAGTGAACACTCACCTCAATGCCTTGAGGCCTGAAATGTTAATGTATAGAGAGCACTTGAGTAAGAATTGAGAGATGGCTGCAAAAGTGTTAGCAGACACAGAAGCTTTTATACAATATATTAATGATCATATAATCTGAAGATTGAAAGAGGTTCACTGAGTGAAGAATCCCTGATGCATAAGATTATCTGATAATTAATATTTGATATCATCTGCAAGAGTAAGAGTTCCCTTGCACTTCAGAGAATGATCTTGCTATATTTGAGTGTGAGAGCTGCAGAATGTGGAATATAATCTTATTCTCAGACTCAATTGGTTTCAAAGGTTCAATCTGCAGATTCAATGACATACATGCCATATGCAGTTGACTGATAGGAAGAAAATGGTTCATACAATCCTATTAACTGATATGAGAAGGACATTTCACATCCCTGGTATAGAAGGGTTAAATCTGCTTACACATCAACAAGCAAAGAGAATGATTTGCAAGACCTCATTCAAAAGCATTCTGTATGTCATACAGGACTCAGAAGTGAAGGAAATCAAGATAAAGAATATACAGAAGGATAAGCATATGAAGGAGCTTCTGAAGAAGTATAAAAAGGTCTTCTGAACAGACCTTTCACTGAAATTGCTGCCAGAACAAGGATTTGTACATGAGATTGACACAGGGGATACAAAACCAGTCAATCAGAATGCATACCCTCTGTCACAAACACATCTTGAAGAACAGAAGCATCAGATCACTGATCTTCTAGAATGTGATCTCATACAATTCTCATTAAGTGTGTGAGACTTTTCAGTCCTATTCATGAAAAAGATGAATGAAGAGTGACAGATGTGTATTAATTATCAAGCACTCAATAAGCTTATAATCAAGAATGAATATTCACTGCCACAGATTCAACAATAGTTGAATATGGTCAGAAATATCTGATATCTATCAAAGATCAATCTTCTCTCAGAATACTGGCAGATCTGTGTAGACAAACTATCAGTTCTGTGAACTGCATTTAATACACAATGAAGAAAGTTCGAATTCCTAGCAATGTTATTCAGTCTGACAAATGCACTCATCATCTTTCAAATGATGATGAATACAATTCTTCATAAACAGAATGAATTCTTATGTCTTGTATATCTTGATGACATTCTAGTCTTTTCAAACTCATATAACAAACATCTGAAGTATCTTGATGAAATGCTTATAACTCTGGCAGAGTATAAGCTCTATATCAAATCAATCAAGTGTGTGTTTGAAATGAAAGAGTTGGAGTTTGTGAGACATGTAATGAATGATGACTGTATACACCTCATTCTGGAGAAATTGAATGTTATAGTGAATTGATCACAGCTGAGAAATGTATATCATGTATAACAGTTTCTTGAGTTGATCTCATATTACTGCAGATTCATCAAGGATTTCACACAAATATCTGCATCACTCTCAGATCTCTTAAGAGAAATGAATGCAAATCTGTGAAAGAAGAAGTTTCATTCAATCATCTGAAATGCCATGTGTGAAGAGGCTTTTCTCACACTGAGAAAATGTGTAACAACATTCTCAGTGCTTATTCAATCAGATTGTAATAAACCTTTCTACATTGAGACAGATGCATCTAAATGAGCTATCAGAGACACTCTTCTACAGATGAGTAAGAACAGCAAGCTGCATCTGGTGGTGTACAATGGTAGGAAACTATCAGGCGCCAAGCTCAATTACTCAGTGTATGAAAAGAAATTGCTAGCAATCAAGCACACACTGGCATTGTGGAATAGATATATTAACAATGAGCATATAACAATGATGATCACAGATCATGAAAGTCTCATCTATCTATAATTAATGACAAAACCTTCCAAATGCTTAGTATATTGAATCTCAGAGTTTCAAGCATATAATCTTCATATTAAATACTGAAAAGAATTGAATGCAGTGATGCCTGACATAATCAGTCACAGACTCAATTTCATGAGTGAGAGTTCTGTGAACCAGGCACAAGAGATGTTCATGTTAAACACACTGAGAAAATGCAAGAAATCAGAATGAGTGAATATCATGATCTCTTACTTGAAGAATGACAAGGTGTCAGATGACAAGTGTCTTGTGAAAGTAGTAGAAGAGATGCTTCTGAACTTCAAGCTGAGGAAATTGAAAAACAACATTATGCTTTACTGTGATCTAGAATACACAGAAGCTCTCTATCTAGAATCTTCATTTCAACACAACTTAATAACTCACATGCAC